CGAGCGTTCGTCGGATGGCTCCTTTGCAACCCGAGACATGGCTTCCACCATACTCTCGGTGCTGCAAGCAGCCGTTCAACGAGAGCCAGGTTTGTCGGCGTGCAACTGCCATCGGTGCCAAACGCTCTGCAGAATCTGCAAACCTCGCCAAAATCCGCCGGAAAGCGGAGTGCGATATGGGCAGTCCAAGTACCGCAACGGAAGGAGTGTGAGGGTGGAATACACGACCGCCACAGCGAATAGAATTGCGCTGGCGATAGCAGCCATCGCAATGTTCACGGGGATGAGAAAGGCCACCAGGCCACAGAAGAAGAGTAGAAGGGATGTGTGGAGGAGGAGAGGAATAATCTCGACCACCGTATGCATTTGGAACCGTTTCATCCCGTAGTAAAGATATGAGAACACATGGGCCCGGATAACAGGAGCGGAGCGCATGTCAGCCTTGTGGATAAACTCGCGAGCCCATTGCTGGACCAGAGTTGCGATCAGGGCGCATGCCAGACTGAGTCCCAGGCTGATGAACCGAAGTGTATTGCAAACGAGGGATGTAGCGGGAGGGGTGAAATGAGCGGAAGGAAGGGGATGGATCGAAGTGCCGTTGAGTCGGTCGAATATTTGGGTTAAGAGCTGGACGGTAAGATCGCCCGAATCACTGTTTAAAGTCTTGTAGCTTTCGATCAGGAACGCCGCCAGGGTCGCAGAGAATAGCGCGGCCTGCGGAGTATATTAACGGCACGTTTTGGTTTTCGTGTGCCTTGAGCACTCACGAATATAAGGAGACCCTCCATGTCACTCTTCCAGCTCTCTACCAGAGCCTTGTCGTACTTGTCTGCTTCAGATATGTACACTGCCCAAAGCTTGGCAGCCGCAGCCTCGTCGCCTGGATCGCCCGTGGTCGCTGGTAGGTTGTTATCGTAAAATGGACATCGACCGGGGGAAATCTGGGTCACCTTGCTCGCCGGTTTGGCCCTTCTCCAGGTCGTCCATGATGAGGTAGATGAGGGCGGGAAGCAAACAGCGTGGATGGTGCGCAGGAATCAAGCCGGAAATCGGCCCAGTACAACGTGACATCGTACTGGCAGGCCGCGTGTGGGCTGTGAGACGCACCTCAGGCATGATGATGAAGCATCCGGTTTAGCGAGGCGCCGGTACACCCTGGCCTGCGAATGAACGTCCCCACGGAGGTTTCGTGCAAGCGCCGAGTTACGAAAGAGCCGTGAATAGCAACATTGACCACACGTTGTGCAATGTACAAACGTTCTGCTTACAGAGAGGTCCACACCAAAATCCGGGCCAACCGCAAGTGTGAAACCATTCTTCGCAGCTCTCCCTCTTTGAAAAATCCCATCGTCTCATCCAGGTAGGCAATACGATGAATCCACAGCCGGTACAGATTACAGCCAAGTAAAAGCCGCACGGAAGAGCACCGGGCAGAAGACAGGATAAATTTTCCCATCGGCGTTTTCCCAGCGGTCAGTGCGGCTCCAGAACTTTCGGGGTCCGTGTACAGAGACAGCGTCGGACGGAGGCTTTGAATCAAAGGGAGAACAGAGGCGGTCTTTGAATGTCTTGCGGCTTTGATGCAGGATTCGCGTAGGATGTTTCTTGACACAGTTTATTCTTCGTCGATGCTTGGGAGAAATGATCTTGAGTGAATCTTGACGCGACATCAATCTTGACGGCATTCTCGAAAATCGACGACTCTTGACATTCCGCCGCTTGCCCCTAACCCATATTCGGAGATTTGATGGCGGCAGCACGGCAAGTTTGATCACCGGACATACCAATGTTTGGCTCGTCGTTGGCACAACAAACGCACTCTTTCCTCCCCCATCCTCCTGAGTCCTAGGGCCTGACTTGGATCATCCAATGGATGATTCCCACGATATTATCTCGACCGTTCTTGCTCAAAATCCTTCGGGCCAAAGACGTAGAATAATCTTTCAGAGTACACAAGGTGATCGCGCGGGGTTAGAAGAAAATCTGGTCCATGGTGAGAGAGAATTTATCCACGGCGAGCGTGGGAATCATCCAATGGATCATCCAAGTCAGGCCCTACATCCTCCCCACCACGCCGTTCCCTCTCATGATCAGTGTCCCCTCTCCCGCCAACAGCCCCTGCTCCCCTCCGGACTTCGATGAGTCAATGACCACCTGTTCCTCTGCGGGTGCTTGCACGATCGGCTCGAAGTATTCCGCTGGCCAGCTTCACCCCATAGTTATTGCTTGAAGGTATGTCCTCCCGCCTAGCTCATATCGAGTGTAAAAGCCCACTTACGCATTGAAGGTCACCGTTCAGCCCATTCCAAAGAACATTGGGACTAATTCAAGCCCTATGAGACGCCCGCTCGCACAGACCCTCACGGTGACCAGCCCAAGAAGCCAAGCACGCACCGCGCCCGCCCATCGATTGCACACTCGCCACCCGCTCGCTCACTCCTACGCTCACTCATACACACACGCACCACCCCCATACGCTACGTCGAGAACCTCCGGATTGGCTATTTTCTCCGTCGTTGTTGCGCTGTACGCACAATACAAAATATTCATTATGTACTGCATTCGAACTCTTCTGTATTTCTCGACCCTCCAGGAACAATACCTGTATATGTAGCATCCTGGATTCACTGTGGATGTGCAGCGGACTTGCCTAGCCGTCGACGCGCTGACTCGGGGAGATTTCGTATTGGTTCCACGCCGGCCATCAACGTGAAAGTGCCGCGATCAGAATCTCCCGATTGGGTTTAGGGGCGAGCGGCGGAAAGTACGAAACTAAAATCGACAGTCCCGGGTCGCGTCGGCACCATCTCAAAGCGGCCGAACCTATACCCCTCAAACAACCCCAACCAAAAACCCCAACGCCCCCTCACGGGCAACAAAACCAGGTACAGCGGGTACAGCGCCAGCGCGAGGCCTGCGGCGAGCCATTGGCGGATGAGTGCCCCTAGCAGGGGCAAGACGTCCTTCGCCCCGCACATACCCAGGCCGCGATGCGCGTTGCCGTCGGCGATGGGGTGAGATTGCGTGCTGCGCGCGGTGGGGGAGTGAGAGGGGCCGACCTCCCCCTCCTCCGGAATCGGATCGAGGGCACGGTGTTTACCCGCGAGGGTGGGGGATGGCGGCGGGAGCACGTACGCCGTCCCCACTCCCACCGCCGTCCCCGTGGAAGTGGACGAAGGAGAGGGCGGGGAGCCAAACCACGACGCGATAAGCGACTTCGGACTCGCTCTGGTCTTCGTATTTGGGGCTGGGATGAATATCGTTCCTTTCCCTTGCCCTCCTCCCCCTCCCCCTCCCCCTCCTCCCACGCTCATCCCCCCAGTGACGAATGCAAGCTCGTTCTTCCTGGCAGAACACAGCTTCCTGACACGGCGCTCCACGCGCCTCACACCCTTCTCGATCGGCGCGAGCGCGTCCTCGACGTACCCGTACAGCGCGTCCTCCCTTTGCGCAAGGCGCGCGACGGTCGCTTCCAATCTCGCGACTTTGGCCTCTAGCGCGCTTAGTTGGGGATCGGGATACGGATGTAGACGGCGAAGGAAGGGTGTGCGCGTGAATATGAGTGTGGAGGGTGCTGGTGCGCGAGGAGAGCCGGGATGTGAGCTCGCGCAGGGGCCGGAGGGCGGTGAGGAGGAAAAAGAGGGTGGTGGAGAATCAGGAGATGGTTCCGCTCCGGCTCCGGCCGCCATAGAAGACGAGGAGTTGGTGGAAGTGTTGGATGGGGAAGAGGATGTGGAGGTGGTGAAAGACGCAAGAGAGCGCAAGAGGCAGACACCAAGCGCAGGCGTTAAGAGGCACACGAGGAGCAGGCCCAGCTCGAGGCGGCGCAGTTCGCTCTGTGCGCGACGCAGCGAGGGTGGGCGCGGCGGACACGGTGGGAGAGGGAGAGCGCCGCGGGCCCGCGGCGTGGTAGAGGCGCCAGGGGACTGTATTCATACACTCCTTGTAAGCACAAACACCATTTAAAAAAAAGAAGAGGGAAGAAGAGGGAAGGGGAAAGGAAATGGAAAGGAGGGAGCAAAGTGAAAGGGAACGCACCTTCGACAAGCTGATGCAAATAGAACACAAGCAGTAGGAGCAGCAAGAGGTCTTTGAGGTGGTCGCCGCCCGTAAGCCAGTTTCCAATCGGCGGTGCGAGGGCGAGGAGGACTAGCTGGTTATGATAGAGCGTCTGTCTAGAGAGACTAGAGGAGGACGGGGATCGAGGGTTTGTACCATGGCCGCGAGTCGGGGGTATCGTACTCTTCTTCCCCTTCCTCCTCCTCGTGTGGCGCTGCTGCAGCGCGCGGATTCCCGTAAATGGTCTCCTCCCCACTCTGCCCCTCTCCCTCTCCCTCGTGCTCGCCCTCGTGCTCGCCCTCTTCGTCATACGACGTCGGCGGCGACGGCAACGAATGCAGGTCCTCGCTCTGGTAGTCTGAGTCCGCGTCGCCGTTGCGCGTGCTGGAGTCGGCGGTGGTGAAGGAGCGGCTGGCGCGTTCGAGGAGGTGCATATGCATGCGGGGTTGGTGGATGAAGAGGGGCGAGCGCTGGTTTCGCCGTTGTTTCGCGGGACATTTGGAACAGGAGACAGGGGGAGAAGGCGAGCCAGTTGTTGGTGATCCAGTCATACAGACGAAGGCGCCGAAGGGCGAGAAGACGAGAATAAGCGAAGAAGCAAGGGATTTTGAGATGATGGTGCGGGGAAGGCTGGATAATAAACAGCGACAAGCAATGGTGCAGCCAAGCGTGGACAATGTTCGGCAATTTCCGTGTTGAAGTCGCGGTTCAACATTCCTCCCAAGAAATTCAAAGAGCACTATCAATTGTAGTCCTTGGACGGTGGCAATCCTTAAAATTCCTTAGTCATGTATTCGCAGCTTGCAAGCTTCCTGAATACAAATTCGAATTTCGCCGGACACATCTTGACTCACTGGCGAGCAGCCTTTTATCCCACCAACCATACCAATCCAAGAGAGGATTGGTCTACTAAGGGCCAAGGCCCAAAGTATGAGTAGAACGACTCGTTAGCGAATGGCGCGCGCCTGCCCTCAATCCAAATTTGGAATCAGGTGAGTTATCTAGGCAGGAGGAACCCGGTTCGACTCCGGGACGAGTCATAGCTCGGGATCTGTTATTTCTTTTTCTTTCCGAGCCTGTATGTTGCGGGTCTTTCCGTTTCATCTTCCGATTTTCCATCCTGCTACAGGTATTGAACTGCGCTTCAGCTAAAGCCCAAGAGCTGCTTTAACTCAACTTGAATCGAAGCACAGAACTTAGATAGGGAAGACTCGGTAGTGGTGTACCTCGCCATTCATTACGACAGCGGTTGGGATTTGTACGCAGGAAACCGGTTCGATTCCGGGACGAGTCATAATCACCGGGTTCAGTGGTCTTTTTTGTGGTTTCAGCGGACCACTCAACGACAGCTTCAAACGGAATCCCACCCGGTCCGGTATGCCAGTGTGGTCGAGTTCCGCTTTTCAATCATACCACCGGGATTTAATCAATTTTCAGCCAAAGGCTGAGGGGTATATCAAGTCAAGAATGGGGGGTAAGTACTAGTGAGAAGACTCGGTAGTGGATGATCCGCCCCTGCATTCAAAACAAAACGATTGTTGAACTTTGAGCGGGAGAACCCTGGTTCGACTCCGGGCCGAGTCGTTACAGACATCATATACATATCTGTTCCTTTTTTAACCGTTCAATGAAAACTCGCGCGTCGCTTGCCCATTACCATCACTCTCTTCTTGTCTCATGACGTGGGATTGGGCCTCTTCGAGGCGGGTGCTGAATCTTTAGGTTCTGGTGTCGTAAACCATGATTCTATGTACAATTTATCTCTGGTCTCATTGACCATAGCTACAAGTTGTCCAGTGGCTGCTTTTTGAATAAATGTTGCGGAACAGCGTCGCTTGGTTCTCGCGCGCTGGAATTTGACGAATTAGGTGGCTTCCAGTAACTTACCAGGATAATTGCGCGGAAGAGAGGGATGGCCCGCCACCTCAAAGGTGGGCAACAAACCAACCCCCTTTGTACGCGATTTTTTTGGAGATCGTCCAAATGAATCCAATGGTTCAATTTCAGCAATGGGTCGAGACGCAGAGGTCTACAAATTTGTCAGAGCGATAATAAATTGGGTGTTCATCGAGATTGGCCTCTCATGCACCGATTTCTGGTGCTGTTGTAACATGTGCCGATTGAGAATGAGTTCCGCCTACTCTTGGTCGAGTTTGCAAACTGCATCGCACCCTTCAACTGCTAGCCTGCAGTGTCGTTGCGTTATTTTAATCCGGGATATTGACTGCAAGGTCCATCGCCGCCGGCCATGAGACTTCGAAGGACAAGACCTGCCGGAGCGAAGCGGAGGCAGGTTTGGGATGTCCGACGTGTTCCGAAAGTCAAATACGAAGCACGGGGAAAAGTTGGGGAAAAGACACATATTTTCAAGTGCAACGAAAGTCAATTGTGAGCGTGGCAGCCTGATATGAGGTACACCAGGCTTAGCCGGACTTTGTGAGTACCTAAAAGATCAATTGCAAGAGTTCAAGACGTAACCTGTTTGGCGAGAAAAAATTGGCGAGAAACAACCAAAGATGAACCAATTACCATGTACCATGGAGAACAATTGTGCATGTGGCAGGTCGCGGAATTATTGGACACATCCTTGAAGGAGAATATCGAGCTCGTACATGTATGTAGGTTCCATGTGTTGCTCTTGATTAGGCGATAAATGTACAGCCTGCTTGCAGAAATTTCAGAGTAGTTTATCCGGCGAATGTTGCATGCAGATCTCAGACATGGCGCGACACAGTTTAATTTTGTGAGGTAATTGACTCAGAGGCTAGCCGTAGACCAGAAAGAATACTGGGGGATGTTTGAAGCCAGGACTACGAGGAGTGTTGATGCGTAAATGACGATGGGTTGAAATATTTGATGAATATTCGACATTCTCCCCAACCACACTCACTTCAAGTGTGCTGAAAACCAAAATTTGGCTCAACCAAAACACAATCAGCTGGCATCAAATTGAAAACCTCAAAACGAGATCGAGATCAGAATTTTCAAATCGAAATCGCGTTGCCATCAATTTCTGATCTCGATCTCGTCTCTGGTTTCTCATTCTCGTTCTCCCGTTTTTCGTTTTGGCCTATTGTTTTCTCGTTCTGACATGGAAGGCTTGTGATTTGGGTCTTCCCTTTTTTGTTTTGATCAGCTAGTCTGGGTTTCGTTTCTGATGCTCTCGGTCTCATGTGGAACATGTCGATCCCGACGGCTCGGTGAAAGTGACGCCAGTGACGCCAAGTGATGCCCTCAACCAGGAACATTGACGCTGAAACGGGGCGCTTGAATATGGGGTATACGAATGCTAACTAGTCTAACTTCGTGAATGAACACAAAACCAACCAACCAACACACACACACACACACTTATACTATTAGCGCACACCAAAGTTGCGGGGACGGGGTTCGTTCCGTAGTATGCGGACAGCTGGAATCGAACTAAACGCAACAAAGTCTCGTTGGGGTGGGGTCTACAATCTTGTACTGAACTTCCAGTAGTATAAACTGACTGAAATGCCTCGCCTAGGCAATGAACCAATGTTTTATATGTGTTTTTCCGGGACGGGTTGAACGCTAGGAGCTTACTTTAAAGCCCTAGGAACGATGCCAAGGTCCAAGGCGTCAACTTTATGACCCAGGGAACAGAGGACTTTATGAAACCAACACTGCAAGACCTTCTTAAACAGTGGACTCTAGTGTCTGGCCAAAGAACATTTATTTGGGAATCCTACAACCAATGTAAAAGACAACAGAAAGAATCCGGGGGCAAGGCAGCACGTCTAGTACTCAGAACCCAATGGCAATCCTCTTGGAGCTTATGCCAGTGCTGCAGCGACTCGTTTGTACGTGAATGCCTTCTTGCGGGTCAGACAACGTGGAATTTATATCACAACTCAAATCAATTATCACACAATCACCAATTTATAGAGCAACTACAAACAGAAATTGAACGAATCTCTGCGAAGCCGACCAGAGGACACCACAGACTTTATTGAAACCTTCGACCTAAGTCTGGGGGATCTCGTCGCAATGAACTGGATTTTTGCGGTGCTCCTAGGCAGCTTTATATACAGTTACAGGAAATAACAGGAAAATGAGCGAGCTAGATAACGTCTTGAGTCATACAGCAGCCAAGGAAACGGCTGCCGTGTCGAGTTGTCGTGAAGTCTGGCCGGCCGATCGCTTTTGGTGCGATCGGTTTGCTCGATTGGGTATATTTCCAAATGCCCTAGGCACCCGCCGCTCGGCCCTAGGATGTGCCTGGATCGGCATGCTTGATAATATCCACTCGCTGGATTATTCCTCATGCTCTCCACATGGTCTCGTCGGTGCTTTCTAATGTCCTAGGCAAGGCAGATCTGCATCCGCCAAAACCGTGACCTCGATCGCTGGTGAGTAATATCTGCTCACTGGTTTATAAGACCTGCTCGCTGCATTATTCCACATGTTCTACTTTGGCAGGGCGCACGCCAAGGCGGCAGCCCGGGACCGCGCTCGTAATTCCCATAATTCAACCACGCTTTGTCCCTATTTGTAGTGTCGACGCGACGCGTCTGTCACCTGACTCTTCTGATCTCTTGGAACCCTTGTTGGTTCGAATCCTGTGAGCAACATTCCTTTTACACGGCCCTAGACCCTTCCCTCGATGTCTAGCGTGCATTCCAGCCTCAAGTCTTGAGGCCTAGGGGGTTCAACGCCCATCCTAGGCTGCTCCTGACAAGTATTAAACGTTCCTAGCGAGCCCAGCTCTGGCCTAGCAAGCGTCTAGTACCGATATCTTGTGCCCTAGGGCCATCTAGTATTCCCTGCCCATCACGCCTATGCAGTCTCGGTTATTCGTAGCAATAGAAGTTCATCGTTTGATAGTCCGGGCTTGGTATATATCCTTAGTAGTAAGTCTAGCTTGCGCATCTTGGACATTTACAACCAGCAGCTCGGATCTCACTCTGATTCTCCTTGTATCACCATGTAGAGGACCCTAGGCTTGATTACACTAGCCTAGGGGTGCATTCTGGTATCCTCAGTAGCATTGGTTATGCCTAAGAATCGCAAAAATACACGATGTATGCCCATACATGTTTCTGGGCCATCTCAACGCCCCGTGTCACATCACACCTCAACTGCCACCCTCACCAACGGAAGAAAAAAATTGGGATTGGAGATAAGGGCACCAATACACGCTGTAGTGCGTCTATTATAGCCTACCTGAGAGAAATTCTCTCAAGTTCCGTTGTTCACAAGATATTCAACAAATAGGCATGGGTTGTATCGCACACATTTTGCATGTATTACTGAATTGTCCTATAGGATGTCCATGGTTCTCTTTTGGAACGGATCCGAGACCAAAATAGGGAACTAGAACATCACCAATTGAGACTGAACGAACAAATTGTCGAGAGATGCAGCAATGTCGCTATCTGAGCAGCATGTATATTTGCTTCAGTCTGCCGTCCTGATTCTTCAGTTTATTTACGTCTTGGTATGCTGCAAGGCCAAAACTGCGACTTTTCAATCAGTTCAACAAAGAATTGGAATGCCCCTCGTCGGTAGAAGGCAGGTCCTCAGACTGAACTTCGGCAGTGGCGAGGGCGTGAATCATTGAGTCGATGCTGGTCTCCATGACTTGACGCTCAGCCGCTGGTATGACATCTGAATGCTATCTCAGTTAAGCAAGGAACATGGCTGCATAGAAAATATTGACCGTACCTGCTGAATGGCTTCTAGCATCCACAGAGCGCCACTGCTCTGCTCCTGAACGCGAAGTCTATCCCCAATCTGGGTGCGGAGGGTGGCATTGACACGGTCTCCAAGTTGCAGGAAGGCAATGCGGATGGTTTCAAGGCGCAGCGGTATAAGGACAGGCTCATCGTCAGCCATGATAGTGGGAGAGTGAGACAGAGCTTGGCGACCTAATGGTAACTCCCCGGATCATTTCAGTTAATTGGCATTAATTATCACTAGTAAGTGAGATTGGTACAGGGTGAAAATGAAACTGTGAGGTGTCAAGTCAAAGTTGAGAAACCGAGAATGAGCTTACCAAAAACAAAACTGAGAT